CCTGGTCCAGCCGCAGCAGACGGAGACGGAGCAGGCCACCGGCGTGGGCGGGCAGGGAGTGCAGATGCCGGAGACTCTGGTAGCGCCCAAAGGGCAAACAGGCCCCCGTACAGGAACGGCAGTGAGAAATGACATCTGCCCACAAGTAGCACCCAGAGGGCAGGGAATGATCCCTGAGGGGCAGCTACTACACTTGTTTTTGGGACTTTTTTTGCAGCCCACAGGGCACCTATAGAAGCTCCTTGGAGATGCATCGAGCTGTGAAGAGAGTGAAAAGAAAGGTAAATAAAAGTCTCTTTTAAACGGATAAATCAAATAAATAAGAAAGGTGGACAAGAGCAGACTAGGTGGCACAGAACCAGGATGGAGATGATTTTACTGGCTAAGTGAGAAAACACCGGGGGCTGGACCAAGACCAAGAGCTCGGGCCAGAGGCGGAGTGGGTGGTGAGAACGGGCTGGATTCTTTAAAGCTCCGACATTTAAGACGTTCCATGGAGGATGCAGCAGGTTCACACGGGCGCTGAGATGGAAACGTAGCAGGTCAGCGATTAGTTGGAAAGTCAGCATGAAGCTCTGCAGGTATTCTGGGATGCAAGCTTTGTTTTACTGCAGCTGGGAAGCAGGAAGTGAGCTCTTTCAACCTGGAAGGTCAATCTGGGAGAGTCTAACTCTCACTGCAGCCCCCCCCCCCCGGAGCAGGTGGAGAGGGTGGAGGAGTAGAGCATGTGAGCCACTGTGTCCTATCATGATAGGAATGCATTTTAAATAAACAAAATAGTAGTGACATCCACGTGAATCATGACCAACACAGATGAGGTTGGGGTCACATGAGGAAGATATTATAATGCCATGCTTGATGAGCCTGTTTGTTTTTTAAAGACAGAGAAATGGGTTATAATTCTGAGCAGATGAAGGAGGTACAGAGGGGCTGGGGGGGGGGGCAGTGGTATGTGGGGAGCCGGGCAGCTATTCGGGGAGGGGAGGGGGGCAGAGGTCATGGAGGAAGAGCTTGGAGGAGGGGGAGAAATGAGAAGATGGCAACACAGAGATGATGGATTTACATTCATATGGGGGAGAGTCAGAAGTGGCCCAGAGTGTGTGGCCCTCTGGCCCCTGTGGTGATGGTTATGGTGCCCCTGTTTAAGGGGGGCTGGCCCCTTTCCATACAGCCAATAAGATTGGTGCACTGATTAGCAACTGACAACCAACCAATCACTTCAAAGGTACAATGCCACAATCCCTAATCCAGCACAACGACGTTATTATTATTATTATTATTATTGTCGTTGTTGACTCGTTCTCATGTTTAGCAACAGTGATGGCTCCCTGGCCGAGGACTGACATAGCTCCTCACGCACACATTGCAGTAATAACCTGCACATTTACCTCATACTCTGCAGAGCCCAACCTGTCAGATAGAACTTCTTAAATGTTCTAAATTTTTAAAATTTTCTACATTTTTAAACGGCATTAAATTATAATCATAGAATTATACTGTGCCCTCAGCAACCAAACCCTTCCCATCTGGTATGACGGCTATTATTCAGGAAGCAGTGTTTTAACAGCAGATCCTTATTCCTCCCATTAAGAAGACAACCTTCTGCAGTAAAAATGGGCTGATTTTCTTCTTACGATTCACCAAACCATTCCAGCGGAAAGTAGGCAGGGAGAATCTCATTTACCCTGACTAATCCTTTGGTTATGTGAAGGGTAGCTGGGCTAGAGGGAGTTTCTTGTTTATATCCCCCTGCCCGCCCCTTCCCACCTAGTGTAGTGACTGTTTGTGGCCAAGAGGGGGCCCCCAAACCTCGGGGGCCCCACACAAATGCATGGTCTGAATGGTCGAAAACATCACCATTGGCTGCATAAGCCTTCGACAAACAATGAGAGCATTGAAATGAAAGCAGAAGCTCTAGAAAGGAGCCCGTAGACTTAAGGGAACTGGCAAACGTGGGGTGGGTATGGAGAAGATAGCAGGTTGGAAGGATAACAGGAGACTCAGCGGCGCAGATAGGTGGGAAAATGGGGCAGAGTGAGATGATGAAGTGAGCAGTCAGGGAGGTGGGTGGCAGTTTGCTGGGGCTGGGAGGCTTGTCTGAATCCGAGGTCTTCTGAGGGGGGAAGCCCATGAGGGGGACTAGGCACGCTTCACTGCCAGCGCCCCCTATAGGGCTTTCACCGGCACTGAAGCATGGAATCAGAAAACTCAGCCATGTTACAAATGTGCAAGTTGAGCTGGACACAAAATATAGCATTTATTATGTTCTTACCACACCCATGTGCGGCTCATTCTGGAGCCAGATGGCGCTAGAGACACTCTGGGCTGATGTGTACAATGCTGGCTGGTTGTGACTGCAGAGGGTCTGCCTCTGTCAGAAGATCAACTCTCAGGCTGTTAAATGCTCTTAGACGCTGTTAGGCACTCTAAGGGTGTGTCAGACTGATTTCATAAAACCAGTGCTTCCCCTTAAACTAAGCAGCTTCCCTTTAGACTGAGCATAACAGCAAGGAAAGTCACTGAGGGGATATTTAATAATATGCTTCAGTCAATGAAAAATACAGGTATCCATCGACTTGTGCCTGGGGTTTGTCCCGGAAGAGAGGACGTCAGTCTGGACGTATCGCAATCATTTTCAAGGAGAAGTCAAATATGCTGTACAACATAAGATTCAATATCACATACATTTAACTAAACCTCTATACGTTTCTACAATCAGTTTGTTTTGGTTCTTGCCGCATTTCGCAGATGGTAAAATACGTCTGATGACGTTCACCACGTCTGCTTTGGACATCGCTTGGTAAATTTTATTAAGGCTCTTATGGGACCTTGGATGTTACCCGATAGGACATAAGTCGACGGATGACTGTATATCAAAATAAAATGTTGTTATGTATTAGAGAAGCCATGATTGAATCAGGCTACTGATCAGCTCATATCAGAAACAAATTATATATGATATTGTAAATGACAGTTCTGAGTCACTCCAAAAATCGGAACCTTAACCAAACCAGATATCACAGGCACAGATCAGTTTACTCATGCTGAACATCAATGCGCCATTTTTATAAAATGTTCAGTTTATCATGATGCAAAACAGAGACTTGGTCCGTCCTCAAAGAAGGCTGCTGGGCGAGCCCATATTGATGTGTATACATCCCCCAGTGAAGCGCCCCCAGCAGGCAAAGAGCAGCGAGGCGCTTAGCCTTTTATTCAGCCGTGATTAGAGCTCTACGCCTGCTGCTGCTTCACAGCGCTCCCACTGAGGATTTCCCGAACAGCGGGGCAGTCTCCACACCGAGCTGGGTGCCTGTCTGGAAGTCTGGGGGGGGGGGGGTGGTGTTTTTGCTTGAGTTTCGAGGAAGAAGCATCCAATGAAAGCCTGGCAGCAAATTAAACGTTAAAAATGCAATCCGGGATTCCACAACGCAGACACTACGTGGATTAAGATAAAGTCGATAAAGCGTTTAACCCGTGATTTTTTAGACAGCTGCTACGTGGTGTTTTTAGGATGAAATAACTCAAATAATGCAGCCCAGCCTAAAACCCAGAGGAGGGATTAAGATTTCGGGCTCAGACACGGTCCAAAGTTTATGCTTGAAGAATTGAAGGTTCTGCCGCTTCGCTTTTTGCGTGTGACTTGACACGGTTTGCCGAGTCCGCTTTGTGTGAGTGTGATGTCGTGAAAAGTCACGTAACCGGTTGTCACCCCACCGTCAGCCACTAGGGCTGTGGCCGGCCAAGACCTTCGCTCCTCCCTCGGATTCCCTCAGCCGACGTAACTTGTCAGTCTGCTTCCCTGCCCTGGGTCTAGCCAGTCCCATAACCCAGTGTTTCCCAATCCTATCCTTGGGGACCCACAGACAGTCCACGTTTTTGGAGGGAGCAAAAACACAGACCGACTGTGGGTACCTCAGGACCAGGTTGGGAAACACAGCCATACCTGATGGCAGCAAAGGACTAGCTAAACGGTAACTGACATGGCCGCAGACTCCGTTCTCTTTCGGCTGAACAGGTGTGTACGTGTTCCCCAAGCAGCAAGTGATTCACAGAGGGCTTCGCTGCAGACTGAGTTACTTCCTGTTTCTTGGAGGACAGGCATGTCTATCCAGGTTTTAAGGAAGATACAGTCACTCGCTCATGGATATACGGCTCTTTTTCCCTACAACTGGGGCTCACCGAGGTGCATCTATGAGCAGCATGAATCTGAACCTATCAGACGAGTCGTATCCGGGCTGACTTTCCGAGACGGACGCCAAGCAGCGATGTGCAGAACAAGGCTTCAGGAGGATCCGGGTGGGATTACTGAGTACTGTCAATCAGGGCCTGGTTTAACCCAACGGGAAGCAGGTTAAACCAGCCGGTGACTGACAGCTCACTATAACCACCACCCACTGAGCCTTGAAGCCTCACTTTGCTCACCACTATCAAAAAAATAAGTGACATGAGATGCTGTCCACACTGGCAGCAATCGCTTTAACAAGAGGACAGGTACAAGCCACCATTCTGTGTATTTTAAAAAAATTCCCCAATAATTGGGAAATCCCATTCTGAAGGATAAATACAGAACTGTTTTATTAGCTGGAAATGAAAGCTACCTTCGATTTAAAAAACATCTTGAAGTAGCATTAGAAGACAGTATTTCCCAGAGTGTGATTCCCAGAGTGTGATTCCCAGAGTGTGATTCCCAGTGCGGGTCTTCATTTCTCTGCGGCCCTGGCTGTTTGTGTTCACACACTCATCCATCTGCTCTAAATGCACAGTCTGATTCAGTATCTGCAGGGTAATAGCAGTAATAATGGGCACTGAGAGACAGCTGGCATTTCAAACCCCCCTCCCCCACCTCCCCCACCCAGAGATTCATGTAAAGCATTTGTAAAAGGCCACATTCCAACCAGAACACACCTAGTCAGATATCAAAGAAAAAACAGCAGCATTACATTATTATAGTATCTGTCATTATGTTATTTACTGACTAGTGCAATTATTAGTGGTATTTCAAAAAATCATATAACCTTTATAAAAGTATCATTTTACAGTGCAATTTACATATAGGTCATATTATGGTAGTTATGAAGATAAAATTGCTTTGCTTTGTGCATTCCAACATAAAAAGTATAAAAGCTGTTTATTAATGTTTGTTTAATATCTATAAAATTGACACACACATGCTTCAATCTCAGTGTCAGCTGCCAGTTTAGTAACAGATTCAGCCACATTTTTTTTTTGCAGTGCTGAACTGTTCACACAAGGTTAAGCATGTAACAGCTAACACGTCCATCCTGAGAAGCTTCCCTGTCCCCAAGGCCCGGTGATAAGGAGGGTCAAAGGCTGGAGGGGACCAAGCATCTTTCCAGTGGAGGACAAAACAAAGGAATGGCGTCTCTGCCCTGAGGTCTGTCACCGAGCTCACGAGAGGGAAACAGATGCTCCAGATAAAAGGCCATGGCGGTGACTTCCACTGCAGTGACTTCCTGTCCCAGTCGGTCCTGGTGGAAATGATCCTATAATGAAAGAAGCCAAATAACAAGAGGATAAATCATTCAGCCTCGGCTGGCTGGATCTCGCCGATGCTCATCTGCATGGAACGTCGCGCTAAGTCTTTATTTAAACAGACACGCGCAAACACCATGATGTAGGCCTATCGAAGGCGGCCTATCGAAGGCGGCCTATCGAAGGCGGCCTATCGAAGGCGGCCTATAGAAGGCGGCCTATAGAAGTCGGCCTATGAGGTTTGGCAGAAATGAAACAAGAAAATATCACGTTGAGTCAAGTTAAGCTGGTTTCATGGCCATACCTTCCACTTCCAGGTATACAGGGACATGAAATTATATACAACCAGGACCACAGGGCAACATAGAGACAGTGAGTTACAGGGGGAGGGTTTTACCAGGACATGGTGTACCAAACACAGGACAGTGCAAAACAGGGACAGGACACAAGGGTTTATATACTTAGTGCAATGTGTATGTAAACAATAAGTAATACAGCAGCAGTATAATGGAGGGAATAAATATAGGGAATATAGTGTAAACATCCAGTGCTCATTTACGATAAACATTCACCATTGTCTTATTATGTGATCCATAATATAAATACGATTTCAAATGAACAGGGCAAAAATCTGAGATCTGCTGTATCATAAGCACTAGGTTTTTCATCCAACAAGCTTCACATAAATCATAATGCATGACGCATGGCTGTAAATATGGATGTATTGAATATGCAGCCCATTCTGCTCAGAAACAGGAAATACTATTACAGTAATCAGCAGAATGCCTAAGACCAACCGAGAGGAATAATTCTTCCCTTTGGCAGCACTAATGCAAGTACGTGGCGTGTTCGGTGGGAATAGTTTTGATTCTCTCTTAGTTGAGCCAAAGCACTGCTGTGCACGCTCTGTGCATGTACGGCTGGCATGTTCTTGGACACGTATGTGGTGTGAATTTCATAAAAAATGTATTAAGAGTGAAAGCGAGCAGCCCTTCTGACAGGAGCCGGAGACGGACATGGAGGGAATCCCGTTCGAGAGCAGTGGGGTGGAACGGCGATGTTCCGTCTGTCCATGATCCAGGCCGTCTGAAAAACGCCAAGCTGGGAATTCCTCAGCTGATAAGGTGCTTTGAACATGCGGCCGGTGACGGCTCTGGGGCCGCTGCCACCAGATAGGCCCCATTTTAATGGCCTCTCTGGGGCTCTGATGCTGCGTGGACAGGACACCCTCCCAACACATCAATCACTGCCACAGATACAGCAACATGCAGTCAAGGCAACTGTTGACCTTCCATAGCTGCCAAAAACACACACACACACAACCAAGAATTCAGCTGTGCAGCAGAAAATATCATGCAAAAGAGATATGATCTGTCTGTTTTGTTCTCCTGGATACCACACAAAACATCTATGTTCTTCTTATGCCAAATAATCTTCAAGAGGTTCAGGTGGATCTAGGAAATTAATCTTGCCATTGTCTGGGTTCAGTTTCACCATCTAACAACGCATCATAGTTTATAATCTTCGATGATACTCTACAACCAAGGTCTTTCTCAAATGGGGGCACTGGAGCAGCCCAAATTCTTCTGACCTCCGTTGCTCATCCGCCTCCAGAAAAACCTGCAATTTCTCCAGACTCACTAATCTTCCTTCTTAAATCTACTTTTAAGCTGCTCAGTGCTCCAACATCAGTACAAGTCATCAGTAGACTTTACTGTGTTCAGCATAAAAAATCCAATGGTTCCCCAGGGCAACAGAAACTCATGTTTATATTTATGAAAGCTTGCTGACAAAGTAAATAAACAACTTGTCATTGATTTCACTCATAATGAGGGTTAGACTGAAGAAATGTATGCTGTTTCTCCACTGAAGTGTTCAGTGGCTCACAAGAGCAGTACGATACAGTATGATCAGCTTAGTGGCAGTAAGCTTGGTCTTCATTTCTGTTCTATGATTTACACTAACTAAGCCCTAGAAGAAAGTGCTATCAATCCAGGCTTAGGGCAGGTGATGCAAGTACGAGGTGATCACTTCACCTTGGAACTGTGTATCTACTCACTGTCCCCACGAACAAAACAATACATGCATGCATAATACCACAAGCCACCATCGACAGCAACAGCATGATGACATCACAAGATGTTCCCACAGGGACCCTGTAATGAATGAGCAATTTGGATGGATGGAGGGATGGATAGATGAATACGGGCATACATGGAAAGATGTTCCAGTGACATCACAGGTGATGCTCATGACTAACAGTTCCAAGTATGACATGACTTACTTAGACCATAGCCTTTGCCACCGTAGAACAGCATGTTAATAGTGTTTGATCGTTAATTTATTGATCGAATTATCTAGGTCCTGTTACAATTTTAAAAGGTTTCACGTGTATTGATGGATTGAACTAACATTGACGCTAACAGCACCAGTGACCTTTGACCAGGGTTAGGGTTAGAAGATGGATGGATGATTCTAACAGTGAAAAAGTAGAGTACAGCATATTTATTTTTTTTTTCCTTAAAATGCATTTAGAAATCTTTACCTGGTGATCTGGGGGAAAAAATGAATCAAGATTCTTTCAATTAGCTTCAGAGTAATGAAACCCCTTAACAAGCTCTTGAGTATAATGACCGTCACTCTGGCTCTCTTCATCGGAAACCATGTCTCATTATTCCTACTCAGTGTTTATGGTATGAAACGCCAACATTCTCCTCTCTTTGAAGCAGCCGAAAGAGATTATTCAGGGCACTGGGAATTGGAGACTTGACAAATGCTCTACTATGATATTTAGCAGAGATTACAGCAGTGTGGGGGATTGATATTGGGAAAGGGTTTGGGAATTTTTCACCCATCATTGGGCCATTTTAACGTTTGAACTGTGCATCAGTAGAGTGAGACGTTGCTATCTTATGTTTGCTGGTGGTCAATGCATATTTGTGTTTGTCAGAAACAGCACTTCAAAGAAGCATATTTGATCATTCAAGAACCTCCCATTTAAACATGCCTTAGAGACTATAGTAGACAGTACCAAAATGTTTATATGTAATGGCACCAGATAACCCAGTGGGGGCAGTGTGGCAGTTAATGACCCTGCCTTGCTGATTGGATCCCTATGATGGGCCTCTGAACACATATTTTTGTGTCGCATGTTTAAGCTCGATTTCCATTTGCATTAAACAGTTAAGGGCTCTTTGGATAGATCTCCGAGCTGCTCTGCAATTATCTGAGGCAACTCCTGGCTTCTGTACCAGAGCAGGCTTCTCCCATCCTCGTGTCTTTCCCCATTATCTCCTGAGTACTGGCTTCTCTTCTCCAGAGTCGCATCTCCAAGGATCCATCTTGCGCTTCACTATAACTGACAAGAAACAGGCAGATTATAAACATACCGAATGAACAAGGGGAAAATATATCTGAGACCCCGTGAGCGAGTCAAGTATCTAAAGTCGGCTAAATATGCTCCTCTGCTGAAATGTGGTTTTCCAAGATGCCGCCCAGCAAATCGTACACAAAGCAGGGAAGCACAAAAGCCTTTTTTTCATGGGAACAGCACAAATGCCCAGACGTCCACATTACGTTCTGACTTTTCACAAAGCTGTTGCTGGTGTATCAGGAACTTCATTCCAAACCCACCACGACAGTACGTGCCAACGCAGATGTACAGAGGTACTCTGATCCCTGTGCCACTCTCCGGAACACTGAAAGGAAAACGCATGAGTATTTCATTCATTTTGAACATGCAGGTTTCCACACTGCCAGAGGTATTGCCTGCAACTTGCCCCGTGAGTCAGCACGTTTATTTCAGGGGCATTAACATTGAAACTGTTGGGATTAGGTTCCTGTGACCCCAAGTAAAGTGTGGGTTTCATTTTGCCTGAACACTGAGCTTATAAAGTACACATCTAATAAAACTGAAACCAATCATAAACAGAAATTCAGATTAATAGAAAGACAGAAACTTAAAATAACATGAGGAAGGATAAATATGGAAAATATAGGAAGAGAATTCTGTTATGATAACGAGAAATTAATTTGCACGAGCTGGTTTTGATGAGTTTATGGAACGATCTTCAGATTAGCTTAGTGTGCGTAGAGACTGCAGTCCATCTCCTGCGATTCGGCGGGAAACACTCTCATATCCTCAGTTTGCATTCACAAAGACACAGTATTCATTGGGACTGCTGGCACTCTGCCTTAGTTTTAATAGTACGAGTTGTGAGATAGTCATCATGTTTTACAGCAGAGAATTAACATGCACGTTCCCCTATTCAACCTGCGGAGGAACATTTAACCACAGTAAGAAACCCTTGGGCATTCAAATGGGTGACACAAAGTCATGTGGGTGTGGCTGGTGTAGTGAGGGTGGATTAGGGGGCTGGGGGGGGCATATCCCAGCAGTCACATGGCCTTGAACAGCTGTCACAAAATCAAAAAGGATTGGTTTGTCTGAAACACAAGGTACACAACCAAGGCAACATGAAATATTTACAGGTGCGACATATAAGGGTCTAACTCCTCTATAATAGAATATATAAGGTGTGCTGAGTCCGATTTACAGTGTAATAAAGTTATTCACAGTTTAGTGAAAGTAGATTAGGAGAACTGAGTTTGGGTGTGTTAGGCTGAAAGGAGCAGACTTGACTCATAAAGCTGCAGTATCAGAGCATGTGATTCTGTAGCAAATAGGAATGGAATCCTTATTCCCTGCGCAGACACATTTGGTAATAAGACAAAAGTGGTAATTAGCAAACGGCCGGGTACTGCAGCCCATTAGCGGTCGCCAGTGATGGCTGATCGTCAGATACCGTGAATTGCCATTAAAATGTTGGGTTCGGACTTTCCATCCGCACGGAAGGCAGCGGTTTCTGGCTGTAACATACCAATAATCAATAATGCAAGAAGAACAGACCTTTTCCTGAGGATTCCTGTTAAATGCTTTTAAAAGCCATATATCAAGCCAACTGCTTTATTAGTGGTCTACTGTGAGGTAGAAATCTGCAGTTTTCAGGATAATAGTTTTGTAGCTTCACAACGGCGGTACTTTAGTGTAAGTTATCGCTAAATGCCCTGCTTCACATTTGTGAAGGTACCCCCACTCAGCAGTTCTCTAAGGATGTAAACCCTTGGAAGTTGTCCAGTGATTCAGGGGCGGGGTGGGAGGGCGTAATCACCTCTCTGCTTGACGTGACCCTGCCTGATGAATCGGAGACGCTGGTCCAGGGGGGCAATCGGCCACAGGCTGCCATTAGAGTGACAAGGCCGTCCATCATCCTGAATAAGTAATGAGGTGATTAGTGACAGCGAGTGCATTAGCACATTAAACGCCTGCTTAATATACATACATATTCATCTCTTAACAATAACACACACACACACATATATTAAGAGACAGACAGATAGGCACAACACCCCAGGTAAGTTTACTGGCAGTGAATGGACGGATGGACAGACAGACAAACAGACAGCTAGATAGATAGATAGATAGATAGATAGATAGATAGATAGATAGATAGATCTTGAATCCAAAATATTGTTAACATAATCTGGTTTTCTTCCCATTGACTTCATTTTTAAAGATGTGCTATGACTGGATGCATGTATGCATGCCTTTCTTACACATTCAGGTAGGCAAGGCGCAGTAGACAGGAGACCCCGTAAGCGGCTTGGGTGACAGTGCTAAATTGGTGCCGTTTTGCTACTTAGCCCAGCTGGACGGCATAATTATGAGGCGGCTTTGTGTCGAACGCCCTCGTTAGCAGATTTTCTGAGGTGGTATATTTCTGGGTTTAAAAGACAGGCAGCTCCCTCAGGGTCTGCTAGGGAGTCATTCATGAGAGGAGCGCTCTGTCCATGGTGCGAGAAGATTTGCAATTTGAAAATATCACTATGACATTTACGGGGGATCCATTCCGAGGGAGAGAAACGGCGGCTTGCGAATAATGGCCGGCGGCCGCTCCGGGATTCCACCACATCAGACGGCTCCTTTGAAACATTTACAGAAGTCACTCGTCTTGAAAGCAGACCTCGTCTCTTTCAGCGATAAGAGGCGCGGTAGACCACGGTCGCTTGGCAAGATTGATCCTTTTAACACCGGGATGACTAGCCTCAGAGATGTGAAGCGATATTTCGCAGTGAGACGCGAAGTCGAGCAGCGTTAGCGGACGCAGGCTCGCCTTCGTCGATGATATCAGCGACGGTGCAGGACCTGGTGGAGTACGTCGACTTTCTTACAGCAATATGTGTCCGAAAATTATGAGCCATTGCGCCTGCAGATGAATTAGGAACGTCAAGAAGAACGGAGGCCAGGCAGAGCCTTGACTACTGTTTAGCATCGACACGTTAGGATCGACATGGCTGGGACCCATGCACTGCGCTGGGTACAGAGGCAGAGTGTGCTTGGGGCGAAGAGTGAAACCAAAACAAATGATGCTTTCTTTGCCATTTGCACAAGTACAGGTGCATTGGAATGAGCTCGTTTTGCATACGCCATCTTGCTCTCCTTTTTTTGAGATGAACACACACACATATAAAGAGGTGAGCATAACGCCTGGGATCTGTGCACAGGGTCAGCTATCCATTCAGGAACCCTGCAGCAATTTTCAGGGACAGATATGAATTTTATGGTGCTTTGAACCACTGACTGTCTGATCACAGGCACAGAGGCCAACACCTCCTCCCGATTATTATTCAGCAGATCACTGTGGGGGGTTCTACAGCTTCAGGTTCCTCTGCCACAGCACCCAGGATCAAACTGCATATCCAGTGGAATTAGGGGCCTCAGGAGGCAGAGCTCCTCCATCCCTCCATCCATCCCTCCCTCCCGCGTTTTCTTCTGCTGTGCTAGGCAGCGTGTGTATCCAGATCAATCACCTCTCATTCTAATCACTTCCAGTTATATCAGTCTCCAAATAAATGACACCAGTCACAGAGATAAATCAATAGGTGCTGGTTCTAACCCAGGGGCCTCCTTCCTTAAAGTGATTTGTTGTTACTGGGGTCGGGGAAGGTGCGCTTTCTGATTTCTTTAAATGTTTTTTGGAGGGTAAATGTTGCTTTGTTTTTCTCCTGCCTTCTGATATGCAGATACAAGTATTGTGTGCAGCTATGTTCATTTTAGAGCAGGGGTCTCCAACTCCAGTCCTGGAGAGCTACTATCCAGTAGTTTTCTATCCTACCAGGCTTCTGATGAGTGACACCTGTTCCTGGTATTTACCCAAAAACAGGTGTGGCTCATCAGAAACCAGGTTGGATAGAAAACCTACTGGATAGTAGCTCTCCAGGACTGGAGTTGGAGACCCCTGTTTTAGAGCTTCCCTTCAGTTTAATGTGTCATCCTGGAATCGGGAGGTGCTGGAACACCGCAGAAAGGCTTGGGAGCTTGTTGGAAACATTTCGCTTAGCTCAGCTAGGAAATTCTGAAAGTGGGTTGAATCGGGAGGCTTTCTGAACAGCACGTGTGATTCCTCTTGGGACCTGGACCTGAAATGTTTTATTGCAAAACTGATATTCCAATTCCTGCCTAAAATGGCCTTTGTCACCCGCGACAGCGTGCAGGCAGTCTGCCATTAGCTTCCAGTGAGGCCTGGGTTTGCATCTCCGCAGGTCGGCCGTAAACAGGGGAGGGGCTGGCTCCATTTTCATTCCTTCAGCAATGATTCACACATGACTAATGTTTAATTAAAGCCTCCTCAAACAGAAATCACATTATTCAGCCTAGGAGAATGCAGGGGCTGACCACACCTCCCTTTTAAACACAAACTTCTTGTTATGGTTTGAAATATTCGCTTCAAGTCATTTTCCAACAGTTTCAGGCCCTGTAAGGAGGAAAACCCCAAAGTTATTCATAACCAAGAAGCAGATCTGCCAAATTAAACAGGTTTTACAAAGTACTGGTATCTCACACACCTCTAATTTCACCAGCATTCGCGAATCCTCACACCCATATAATCTCTTAAGAGAACTATTTTTGAAATAATATGTAGAACTTCTAGGAATCATTGCGAGCTGAATTCATGTAATATTTTCAATATATGCATTGGGAGTGGGTTAAATGTCAGTACTGTGAGTACTCACTTTAATGGTGATTTGAATCACTGTTCCCTATGTAGCAAGCATCACAGGGATGATTATGGTCATTTCAATGACCAGAGTTACTATTACTGGTGAACTGGTTATAATGAGTAATATAAGCAATCGCCATGCTGTTTACTCAGTAGTGCATAAAATAAAAAGTTTAAGGCTCACAGGGCAGGTTCTGGATCATTGTTCTCTTATAAAGCGAGTGGCTGTGATTCAGGTGTTTCATGCAAATGCAAAGTGATTTCACCTCGGTGTGCTATGGCAGCTCTTTACATAGAACCATACGTGTATGTGTGTCTGTGTGTGCATGTGCGTGTATTTGTGTGCATGCATTTGTGTATGTGTGTGTACATGTGTGTGTGTATGTGTGTGTCCATGGATTTGTGTGCACACATGTGTGTGCATGTGTATGTACCTGTGTGTGTACATATATGTGTGTATGTGTGTGTCCATGGATTTGTGTGCACGCATGTGTGTGTACATGTGTGTACACATATGTGTGTGCATGCATGTATATGTGCGTGTATCTGTGTGCACGCATGTGTGTGTGTGTGTGCATGTATTTCTGTGCGTGCAGGTGTGTGTGTGTGTGTACACATGTGCGTGTGTGCATGTATGTGTATGTATTTGTGTGCATGCAGGTGTGTGTGTGTGTGGATGTATGTGTATGTATTTGTGTGCGTGCCAGTGCATGTGTGTGTACACATGTGCGTGTATGTGCATGTATTTGTGCGCGTGCAGGTGCGTGTGGGTGTACACATGTGCGTGTGTGTGTATGTGTGCATGTGCACAATGCATCTGTGGGCACATACATGATGGATATTAAGCCTTCCTGTCCTGAATTTATTCAGCATATCATTCACCATAACTTATATTCATAATGAATCACATTATTCATACAGAAGTGTATGCATGTACATATAATACGAGGATGTTAAGGGTTAGTAAACATGGTGGCGTGTTTATTCAGACACTCTGTGACAAAGTCGGGTCGGCTCCAGCGTACGTCTGGCAGCGCGTGACTCAGAGCAGCCGTTGGTTACCATGGTTACGTGCCAGCGCTGACCCGGTGCCGGGCAGAGGCACCGAGGAGCGACGGCCGCAGAAAGCAGGTATGAATTCCGCGGTATCGATTCGGAAAGTCTGTGTCGTGCCCACGGCGAGCCCCCCCTCTCCGCTCTCCCCAGGGCTAAAAAGAATCTACTACTCACACCTCGGAGGTTCCAGGATAAGAAATAATAATTTGAAGAATATTTGCATAACACACTCCTTACAAATGTTACGCACAAAGGGAAACTTTGGATGGAGTGACAGAAAATAAAATTAACTGCATGCAGTAATATTTAAGTAAATAAATAAATAAATAAATAAATGAACCGCAGGAAACTTTTATCTCCATCGTTTTAATCTACAACCATCTTTAAAAAGTACGATTTAGCTAATCCTCAACATTTAAATTATAATCTGAATTAAAATTGCATATAGTCAGAATTTAAAGATGACAATTATAATCTAATTTTTCAAATATTGTGATCATTAAATTACTTTTCAAAGTATGTCCTAGACCAGATACGGTACTAAACAATCTCATAAAATATTACTTATGCTCCAGATATTTTTATATCAGTTCCTGTACAATCCAATTATTAAAATGTATAGTTCTGTAGTTTATATCCATACTGTTCTATATTCACTATTATTTGGATTCGGTACACAGAGGGTTAAACATTAGTTCTCCATGGATGTCTCTAGGGACATGTAGTTTGTTCCCATACGCTTCTTGTCCAGCAAAAACAGTGGAAAATTAGACTTTCCCATCCGTACTTTTGAGTAGCTTTGAAACCCTAGGAAATAATAAATAAATGGCTCGAAGAAGGCTTGATACTGGTGGGCGGGGCGGAGACCAATGATGTCATAATTGGCAGCTGGATTGTTGACAGTCGATTCAGATTTAAAAGCCCTGCAGGTTTTACAGCTTTTGTGTCTTTAATTTCATGGTAAACAGAGTAAAACAATCTCCTACTTTAAGCCAGATGTATGGTGCTGCACAGGACATAGAGACTCATATTCATGTTATAAAACAAAGAATCTCCAAGCAGGATACTTTAAACGCCCATAAAAACTTAGAAGAAACAACCCATGACTCATAAAACTGGTCATTGGCATTGATTTCGCTGAGGCAAACATTGTCTCATGCGACAGATCGATGTGCTGCTTTTATAATGCAGTGACTAATATACATTAAATAAATCGTTTGCATGGAAGCAAAAGGCATCCCTTGATGTTTAAGTATAGGCTCTTGGAAACACTTATTTACACAGAGTGAGTGGTGAACGTTCATTTGGTAAACCTCTGCGCCGTAAACAGAGTAGTTGGGCGATGTGTCACTGCAAAAGAAGTACACAAACAAAAAGGTGTTTTTTTTTCAAGAAAAAATCCCAGCCAAAGCTGTAAACGTGTGCTAAACCGTTTAGTTTTAGAGTGGAACTCACAGAAAACCACCACTCAAACTTACATTTTATACGTTTATATGCATAAATCTATCCACTCCGTCTTCTACCACATAGAATATATCTGCAGACTAGTTTCACAATTTCATTTACGACTATGTAAATCACCCGCTGTTTTCATTCCATTTCTGAACACCCTTGCTCTGCACTGTACATGTTATCATCACACTTTGTCCTGAGTTCTGCACATGTGTTTGTCTCTGAGCCCTTTATAAACCATATGCTGCTGCAGGCAAGTGAATTTTCCCCCGGGATCAATATCATATAACTATCCACCAATCTATGCATGAATATACAGTATTATTATAATTAAATATCTTAAATTAAGCTCTCTATATGACCCACTTGCTCTGATGATAAAATAACCGCATACCATAACCATATACATACAGTTCCACCTTAAAAATACTCTGTAAACAGAAGACCTGTTTACATAACAACAGGGACTCCCCCAGCTGGCCTCTGAGTGCCTTTTTCGTTCTCGTCATCGGGAGGTAATCTGGAGTTGGTTAAGAAAGATTGATCTATTTTAGGAACTTTGCATGTGTCTAACAATTAAAAATATGAATAATAATAATAACAATAAACACATCACCTTGGTACCCACCTCGCAAGGCGAGGGGGAACACCGTATTCCCTGCATTATCCGGTAATGTAAACAGGACGGGCCATTTCTGTCAGCATTCTGGCGATGATTCAGAGTCCCGTGTGTCATCAGGGGATATCCCTGCTGACTCCGCTGCACCCTGCCCTGAGATGCTGAACCACACCCAGGTGGAAAAGACTCCTCTATCATTAGCGCTGAACACTTTTAGCCCGAACGCGAAGAAAGTTCACTGTGGCATACATCTGTCCATCCCCCCCCCCCCCCCCCAGTTAGATGTTTTTCCCCAACCCCACAATTACGGCGGCTGGTATCTCGCTTGCAAATTGCACTGAGGAATTCTGGGCTTGTGGGGACTAGGGTAGGGTACCAGCTAAGCTATGCTATTAGCTTAGCTAAGCTACACCAGTTGTCCAAACAACTACATACTATACAAAGAGTACAACTAAGTATAGAGGTGTTTCCAGGACACTTTGGTAACATATTTTGATCAGGAATGCGAGAGGCTGGACCCTGTGCCATCTGTCACCTTCCTGGATGTGCTAGTAATCGCTTGTGGAACAAATGACCGAGCTATTGCCTTAAGTCCTCTTTCATTTGGCTTCATTACTTTTTAAACAGGATGCGACTGTGTGGAACAAATGTGTTTCTCATTCGTTGATTCTTTCATTTTTAATTTCTTCTTTTCTCCACATAGGGGCCTAGTGATAAAGATGTTTGAGCTAAATTCTGGGATAGGCTCCAGGCCGCCCCCACCCCAGTTAAACTGGCCAGGATAAGCACTTGGATGGGTGGATGGGATTCCACGATACACTCCATACCTCACATTTCCCCTAAGTGATAAGATGAGAGGTTCACTCTCCAGGATAATCCCACAGCTGGTGCATGCGTGTGCGTGTGTGTGTGTGTGTGTGTGTGTGTGTGGGGGGGGGGGGGGATGGAGGAATCCCCAGGGACAGGAAGTCCTTACTTTTGTGTCTCCATAGATACTAATGATGGCCACTGTGCGCAAAAAGGGAACAAACAGAAAATGTGTTTCCCTAGCTCGAGCAGAGTGTGTAACACAGTATTTTCACGGGCTGATTTGTTTGTGTCCATCTGTCTAGGAGGTAATTTGGCAGCCTAGACTGACACAGCATTAAAAGGGTTTTGTGCCTCAATCACGGTGTTCATTATATTCGCTCAACAATTTATAATTTTCTTTCAAATACCCAGTGTCCATGGCGACTCAGCTCATTTCCGATTATGCAATTTGGATGTTAATTACTGTCACAACAATGCATGTTAATTATTGTTACAAAGTTGAGAAAAATAATATAGGAAATTGATGCATCGACTTATTCAATACATTCCTCACTTGCACTCTCCCTAATTTGATTTTGCTTCCAATAGGAAATAAATTTTACATTCAAAATATTGACTTCCTTTGTTTTAATGAAGGACAAAGTAATTAGTAAATAAAACATTATAAAACATTAGGATTCCAACACTTCATATTTCAGCTAGATTTTCAATACTATGTTATGTTTAATAACCATATGTTCGCCGCGACTGGCATGAGTTACTTTCTTAAAAACAGCCAAGTGTTTAAAAGTAGCTATGGATTGTGTGTCAGTTTTTCTGTTGGCTTTATTAGATCATGAAAGGCTTTCAGAATGAGGAACAGTGAAACAGAAGGCCAGAACACCGTGGCCGAAATATGACTTCTGTTTATGAGACATGTGTGTTTGCTTTGACCCCGTTGCTATGGCATCCACTAGATAAACGATCTGAAAACACTTCTGGTTCGGCCGTAACTACAGACTCTTTATTGGAAAATCTGCCAGCGTACGGTGGTCGAGTTCTGGTTTCCGTCTCTGTCACGCTAAAGATGCAAATTCATGCTCGTTTTGGTATATAAATAGGTCAGTTCACCCCTACTGTCATCGAGTACTTATATTCATAAACAGACGTCGCCATGGCGACCTTTGCATTCACTGAAAAAAACAGATAGTCTTACCAGGAATTCCCTCTTCGGAACCCTCATTGTGTCATGCATCTTAAACAAGCGGGCAGGATGTGAACATTGCCCGGGCCGTGCACTAAGCATGCATGCTTCAGAGTTTAAAACAGCCTTTCTTGCAGACCTGGCTCGTGGCAACCAATAGCAGAGCAACTTCCATCCAGTACTTCGTTTCAGATCTGCATAGGGGTCTGCAGCTGCAGCCTGCGGTAATCCAGGTATAATGTCTGCACCGGGTATAATGTCCCATGGCAAGTGGGTTTTGCAGCCGTTTTGGGTGCCACTTTCGGTATTTTGGCTGTGGGATGCAAATAAAATCAAAATAATTTCTTATCTTTTACTGGACCAGTTCACAACTACTGTGTGTCCTCAGAGCAAATCGCCACTTCCTCATAAAGTCGGTAGGAGTCGCTTGAAAATCCACAGCCGAAAGGCCGTATTTGCCCTAATAAAGTGGCTTTTGGGAGCTGCATGGTATATCAGGATGTTACTTTTTTTCTATGGGAATGTTATCCCACGACAAACACATGCATCCGAGTGATTATTTTGACAAGACGCCCGAAGGACCAGCCCTGCTGTTTCTAGGATTTCCGTTTCGGTGGGAAATATTCCATTAGTTGCTTTTGAGAGAGTCCCTCGTGTGAGGAACCGGCCGCGGGGGCGTGTGGCCTTTGTGGTGGTTGGGGGCTCTGCTATCGGGAAATGGAGTACACAGGCACCAGTCTGTGTGAATGGAGCCCCCCCCCCACTAAGGGAATTCCTTGGCATATATTCACAATTTGTCCTGGGGAGGAAATGACCAGGGGACGGAGGCGGGGGTGGGGGGCATGGCACATTCGGAGTGAAGGGGAGGGAATAGATGCCTGAGTATTAGGACAGCGAGCTTAGATTTTATCACCTCAGGGACTGTAATGATGTTTTTTTTTGCCTGCTAGATATCAGATATAGAAGGAAATTTATGTCACAACCGAGGCCAAAGTTTCAGCTGCCAGCTGTTGTCTTTTCTGTTGCGTCCCAGATGAGACAGAGACGACAAGCTTACCAAACTGATTGCTGGATACCATTTTTGTATGTTCTGTGGGAATAAAATGATTAGCAATCTGACAAAATGCTAGAATTTTGTAGCTAACTGTAAAAAAACTAAATTATTCATCATATGTTGATTATAAATGCCCAAATGTCAGTTCCCCCCAAACAGGCTAGGAGATTATGGCTCAGTGTCATTACCAGCTGATCTCAGTGAGTCAGTCATGTGACTGCACTACATTAGGATACGTATCATTTGAAAAAAAAATGCTAAGTATTGTAGACTGTGGAGCTGATTTGCATGGACCAGCAGGGCATCTATTGACTGTGCTATTGGTCTTGCATGTTGAACTGGAGTTTTAAAATGTGTCACAAAAGATCAAATGTGTTGCAATAAAATCAGCAAGAAAACAAAGACCTTAAGCAAGTTTGCCCAGCCAATGATATTGGACACATTAATAAGCAAATAGAGCTGTCTAAGCATGTTAATTATGCTAGTAATTAAGCATCTGTTATGTGCTGGGTTTCACACAGAGTGGTACCTGGTAAACTTGATAACTGGGGTGATTTTGAAACTAGACTAGCTGGAAATTTATATCACCCTTATGGAGATCTGCATTTGTAGCTATACTTGAATAATTATCAAAAGTGACTCATGGTGTGTAGTACAGACTAACTTTCATGAAATCCTGGAAATGTTATTGCACTCTGGAATAATACGGAGCAATTCCTAGTTTATGATGTTATATTAAATATGAAAAAATACAGCAATATTCAAAAATGTGCAAGTCAAAAAGTGTTTACTACCGAAGTGTTCCTTGATGTCATGACAATAATATGAAAGAGTGCCATGCGTTTATTTTTTTTAATCTAAAGGCTGAGCTGAATTACTGTTTAAGTAATTGCGGTGAATACAATGCTAACTAGCCAACTTGGTTTAGCAGGAATAACCAAAGGAAACATGTTACTACTTCTTACAGAGTTATGATGAATGTGTTTGTTCACAAAAAACTACATCCTGTGGCAGTCCTTCTAACCGCACTCTCCGAGGTCCTGGGGGGTTTGTGTGCGTGTGTGTGTATGTGCATGCGTGTGACGCGGAAGGCTCCAGAGTACATAGTCATTCTGTCCAGATTGTCTGTCATAAAAGCATTTTTCTAATTGAACGTGTGGCCTGGGGAAAAGCTGCCCAAGCGCAGTCTTCTCCCTTTGATCCTGCAGGGGTTCACCCATAAATGCAGCCATTGGCTACCGGATGGGCGGTTTTGCAGCCAGCGGGTCTGTGACTTCCTGTTAGGAACAGGAAGTCTGAAGTGGAATGTAGTGAAGCAGCTGCTCTTCATGTGTGCAGGTACTCTTTGATCTTGTAGTACTACAGCAAAGCCAGACCAGTTAAAGTAAAGCGCTTTGGTAATATATTGCAGCGATTTGTCAGTTTAGAGCGTAAAAATGGATTTATTCCTTCGGTTTCACAGAGTAGCTGTAAATTTTGGCTCATGCTGTCTTCTTTCAACAGTGCTTTTTATTTTATTTTGCGAATGCTAAAATTATTAATCGGACTTACTGTCTTAGAAACTATTCTTCATGTTTTTCCATCTTTTATTAGTTTTACTATAAAACTACATGGATTTTTTTTCCATATAAATACACCTATACAAATATAAGTCTTCCAGTGACTTATCTGGTACATGTACACACATAATCCTGCAGATGTTTCTCTGCTTGCAGAGAGGGTGGAATTCCTTTGCCTTACGTACTGAGAGAGAATGAAGACAACAGCAAATCACTGATGACATAAGATCCATGGAACAAGCAGCAAAGCACGGGGCCTTGAAGGCAGCCAGTCCGTGGCAGTGGAACAGAAACCGGACTCATCAATCTTTATTAGGTTAGCTGTACCACAGCTTAGTAACGATGCAGCCACAGGCCAAATTCTTGGCCCGACCTTTTCCTGCTCTCTCCATGTGACCTTCACTGCCGGACCAAGGGACGTCTGTCTGGAAGAAGCAGAGCCATGAGATGAGGACACGTGGCCTCGGGACGGCCGCGCTCTGAACGCGAAGCGGTGTCTGAGTCTTATCAAACGTGGGCCTGACCGTAATCCCGTCTGACCGATTTACAGAACAGACGAGTATTAAGAATGATCTTTGGGGTGAGATTTATGACTGCATAGAGATTCGCCCACAGTGTGCTTAATATCTGCAGCTCAAATGAGATCCAGATGGAAAATGGCCATAAGTTTATTATAGTGTCATATCTGGAAATTTCTCTGGGGGGGGGGCAAATTTCAAACATTAGTTCAGATAGCCAGGCCATCCGCAGATGTGTGTCAAAACTACTGGATGAAGTTTGAAGAAAAAATTTTGTTGTCCTCAAAATTGTTTTAATTTGGAGGGTCCTGCTGAATCATTGTTGATCCAAAGACTAAATTACTAGTCAAACTATACTACACAAGTGCTGCCAACTCAGAAAAACAGCCTAGCGTGAGCTTTTTAGATTGGGGGGGTGTCATTACAAATTTCTGAGTGGGGGGTATGGGGTGAAATTGTAGACACGGTGACTGATGTTGGGGGGGTAGGGATTTATAACAGTTGCTTTTGAGACCATAATATAACAGGATGGTAGCTGGAAGATCAGACGTAAGTATGACATGATAAATTACACTGTGAGAAAAACGCAGCACGCAGAACAGCTGGGGCCGCGCGGGGCCTGGGGCGTGAGAAATCCCTCCCCGTGCGTGAAGGTGGGGGGGGGGGCATCCAGCTTTTGAATCAGCACATTTTTCTCCATAAGCCTAAACATTAATAGCACCTATGCATCTACATGGAGAGTTTATCTATTTTTTTTAAAAAGGACCCAGACAAATCCAAATATGTTCCTAATTCTTTGGAGTCATCCTAGAACCCCCCCCCCCCCCCCCCATTTATGGCAGCCCTGTGCAGAATGGAATTTCCGATTTGCAGACTGGAAACAGGGGGCGTGCGTGTGTATGTGTAGGGGGGTCGGGGGGGGAAGCACAGTGGGCTCCGTCCTAACCTGTCCACCTATTATGTAACGAACATCTCCATCTGGCCTGCTCATTGTAGAACTTTCCACGGCCTGCATTCTTTTATATGTTTATGTCTCTGGAGTTACCATTATGTAAGCTTTGGGTGAATCCTTGCTTAGGACAGCAGAAAAATTGAAAGAAAATGATAAAAAAAAAAATAGCACAGAAGGATACTGTAGTAATGCGCATATATTACGTCCCACCGTTTCCCGTGTGTTGAGTTTGCCCGAGAGGCCCTGAGGAAGACAAAAGGCCAGAACGAGGCACAAATGGATGAGACTGGAATGCTAATGCTGCTGCCAGGTTTTGAATAAGGAACAAATTAAAGAGAAATTATTCCCACCTACTTATTAATCCTGTGAAAGAATTCCTAGCATCCATATTTAATGTGTTTACCCTCGGGGGGGCGCCAAGGTTCATGGGGTCAGCTGACGGAGTAATGAGCTTAGCCCCTCCCACCCTGAGGGGCCAATTCCAGCTCACCCATAGAATTAGTAGCAAATAGGCCCCGGGTCATTTGTTAAGTGGCCTGTTGACTTTGTTTAAGCTCTGCAGTACTTACTGCTCCAGATTGGCGCTGTGCAGCGATAGCAGAGGGACCTGTGCGATGGCACAGAGGTGGGTAGTGTGGTGGAGAGTTTCCCCTGACGATGGAGAGCCTCCTGAAGCGATGAAGGGGACCCCTTTGATGATGTCCAGATTTGCATACGGGCTGGAAGATCCCAGAATGCTGGAGAGGCTCCCATTATGGTGGAGTAGCTTGGAAGATGATGGAGAGAGAGAGAGGTGTCTGGTGTGAAGCCATTAGCTCTTGAGAAAGGCTCCTCAAGGTTAACCCTTCGGAGGCGGTGCGTTAATCTAGGAAGAATAGTCATCAGAGAGACCACCATATCAGTGGCGCACACACCAGGAAACGGGAAGACGTGGGATGGATTTAACACCACGTCTGGGTCACATGTTAACTCTCTCTGCACAAGTTTGTAGCGATGTAGAAGAGGATTCTGGGTAAAAAAGGGAAATGCCCAGCACTCAAAACAATAGCTTAATGAGTGACATCTGGGCTTGTAGGTCATAATTAGAAGCGTCACCACGCTGGAGAGTGCTTACGTCTAGTTCATGATGAGGAGACCCTCCGGCCGTCCTCCGAAAGCCCCTCACCAACTCAACATGCTCTCAACACACCACGGCATGCAGACATGTCACGTGGATGGCAAACTCTGTTTTTATAGATTTCCCTGAGCACAAATCCTCAGCCTGCCTGGCACGGCCTCTAATACTACATGACTCATAATAAATGGTCTCTTAGTGATTTTACTCAGATCAGCTTTTCAGTATCAATTATTTCACATGTTTCTGAGGGCAGACGACTTTATGGTTGCATTGTTTAAGTGCCAGGAAAGATATATTACTTTAGCACAGATATTAAAACCCTATATTATGGGCTACAAGTGTCCAGAGGCTACAGTCTTTGGTAAACTGCAGTATTTAGTAATGTCCTTTCATCATTCACAAAAAGAATACAAAATAGTAAACTTGAACAAGTGTTCATGTTATTTCACATTGTGGGGCTGCAGAATTTTCCAGAGAAAATTAACACGGTATTATGGAGCCAATTAGCTTTGCAATGGTAATTTGTAATGCTGTTTTTCTCCTTTGCCATCTCCATTTTTTATGTTTTTCTAACCTCCCACATCCATTATCAAACTATTTCATCTTCATTCATAGTGTCAGCTCCATTTAGATTACTGAATGAATTATGAATTAAAAACTTGTCAACATTGGCTTCCCAAAACCTCTGATTTTCTACACACTCACAGAGCACCCGAGGATCCTGCACTTTACAAAAGCACAAAGCCGGACTTAAATCTACATTTACACTGCTAGCATTCAGACATAGTAGCGTGAATAAAAATGCCATGCAGACCTATTTACGTGCTAAAAAAACATTCTATTTTGAAAAGTATTTATGTAGCGGTTTCAGCAAACTCATCTGCATGCCAACTCCAAACAAGGAATCTTTGTCGCTCGTTTTGAGGTCTAGTAAAGACACAAATATGCTTCACTTCATGCGTTTGCTGTCACTGTAACAAAATAGAAACTAGAACCCAGATTTTGTTGTTAGATGACAAGGATCATAAAGCTGGAAGCGGTGGGGGGGCTTCTACCATAAAGACGACATGAAATAGGATGTTGGAGACAATATGGGATTATAGGGTGAGTTTTGACATTTACACCACCAAACGATTCCTTAAACTCGTCAGGAGCTGTTATCATTTCAGGCAGGCTAATGGCCATGCCTGTGTCAGACGCCAGATTTAATGAGGCCCTGCTTAGCTGCCAATCTGTGCCTTTGTCCAGATATGCCAATATCAAAGAAGCACTGGAGCTCATTGCAGAAGCTTCTGAGATATGCTGCACCGTCTGTGGAACTGGATGTGTGCTGTTAGCATGTGGCTGCTGTGTGTAGCTGCAGAATTCCAGCATCACGTCTCTCCTGTTCTGGAATCTCCATGGTTTGGAGGTCTGAGCTCGGCTTGAAATGAAACGTGGAACAGGGATACCTAACCGGCCCGAACGTCTTCAAGTGCACCAGCAAAGAAGCATGTTGTCAGTGTCAGTGATTTACAGAACACCCTTTTACCTGACCTCTCCAAACGTAAATACATATTTCTGATAAATTCCCAAGGACGTAAGAGAGCATTTATTCAGCATTTGTAAATGTCAGCACAGCAGATGATGCATTCCTAAACACAGTAGTTAACATCAAAATTGCGTCTCCGAGTGATCATATGAAGACAAAAATTAATCCACCAAACTGACCCAAGGCATCGCCACATTTCTGCTAGACGTGTCACACTTCAAAAAACAACATTTGTATTCTCAATATGTGCCTCTTTTGTTAGTTTCTTATATAAATCGCCAACAGCATCTGCCCCTGGAGGCAGGCCAGCCCCAGAACCCTTGCTATCTTTCCATCACAGGACAATTTAATACTTGCCGTCTGCGAGCCAGCAAACACACTATGCGCCGGTCGAGTGCCGCGACCTGGGTGAGGCTGTCGGGAGGTGCCAAGGTCACCTGCAGCCTTTGTTGTGTACGGGAGAGGGAAATGTTCCCATTAAGGGCCCTTTGCATTCTGGGAATTCTGTAAGCAGAGCTCTGAAGTGAACATTCTAGAATTTACAGTGCAACTGTTTGAGTAAGAATGCTTATAAACTTAAATGTATATCTAAAAGAATCCAGAAGCCAGACGGACACAAAATATAAGCATTTGTGAATGCATGTGTTGCGTGTGATGTTTTTGCATCCCTTATTCCTGACCCCACAGGGTCAGGTGCATGACGTCACACCCCAAAAATGCTCTGCGATCCTCCAGCCCCCCCAGGGCAGGGCCTCACACCCCAGTGCCTGGGCAATCGCTCATCTCAGCACGGGAATCGGTTGCTCCCTCTCCCCCATGAACGTCCTGATTGTTGCTGGAATTGGAGCAGCGCTCCGAAATCAAAGGCCGCGGCCCGCGACATTGTTCTAGCCAGGCGCCCCCCTCCCCCCCCCCCATTATGGGTGGTTTAAAATGCATCTAGAATGAAAGAAGGCACTATTTAGCAAGCGAGTAACAACAAGCAGAACTGGAAAAAAAGGAAAAAATGAAATAAAAACCTGCAGTGTGTTGCCAGAAAGCAGCAACACGCACAATGAGGCTACAGTCCCTGAAATACATGTGGGGGGGCTTGTCTGTAGCGCCTTTCACATGCATCGACTCTCCACTCTGGAGTGATACAACTGAAATGAGGGGGGACGTGGTTTCCCATGGGAAAGGGGGCGGACCGCAGGGCGCCCAGAATATCACTTGGGAGAAAGACCCGCCGGATTCAGCCACTGTTTCCGCTGAAGCGGGACCCTCAGCTCTAGAGACGAGGTGCTATGTCACTTGCGTCGGTGCTGTCTCGTCCCCGTACATATCTGCCGCTAACTCTTCAGTCGACGCTTGTTCCTGTCCTGCGGGATCAGACTCCCGGGTAGAGGGAAGCTTCCCTGATGATGAAACCCGGGATCACGTACCCAGAAGTGCATGCGTTACATTAACGACAAGGGAACGTTCCACCCATAGCTCTAGGGCTAAAACGCAACAGCATGAGTGGCTTTGTAAATTCACAGAGTGTCAGAATCGGAATCACTTTTATTATTGGTAAGTATGCATGCATGTACCAGGAATTTGGCCTGGAACGCCACTGCAGTCACAAGGATTTAAAAACTAAAAACACTAAAGACGCATATGACAGTGAAACACTAGATGAAACAGATGACAGTATAACATGTGGAAGCTGCACAAGAAAAACAAGACAAAACAATAGAGTATAAATAATTACCTAGTCATAGACTCTAATCATACCTAATTAAGATAGATAAGGAGTGTGTGAAGTAAACAGAGTAATGTCAGGCCTGCAGCTGCAGAAATGTAAATAAGATT